TGAAGCTATATGGCCAACATGTTGTACTGATGGTTGTACTGTTACTATAATTTTTAGCAAAAGTATGACAGACAAACATATAGGTGTTTCAGATCTTGGACAAAATAATTAAACCTTTTAGAGAATAAATGGAAAATTGAAAACAAAGTGCAAAGATCTTGGGAGGAATAGGTTGCCATTCATTGCTTCAAATCAAGCACGGATGGGCATTTTAATTACTTGCTATAACAGAGCCCTGTGTGCAGTTTGTTGCCACACAGTGATGAGCATCTTCCTCAGTCTTACCTTATGAGCAGCCCAATCCATCCAACCCTTGGCATTGGGGTCAATGTTGATCAGAACCAACCCCTCCACAGTGTCTGCATGTGAGAGCTGTGGGAAAATAGGAACAAACAGAAATAAGCATAACCATTATGATACTTTAACTGCAACGACACAGCTCAAGCATACTTTAGGATAATTCATCACATTCCTCATGTATATTTTCAGACCTGGCCAAAATATACAGTAGTGGAAGACTATAGAAAGAGATATACCATTCAATTTTCATGGTTCATATCCATGTCCAAACTTCAATGTACACTGGTTATGTTCACATAACATGCTTAACTCATTATTGAATTAATCCAATTTCTATGTTGAACCATAAGCTCACCAAAAGGCCTGAGTTGACAAGAAAAGTCACTAGAATGATTAGTGGTGTGAAATACATTTTTATATGCCAAGGTTAAAGCTGGTTTATTGTAGGAGATGACCAGGGCGAGCCCAAGGGAGGATTCAAATACATCATAAATCATGAGTCTCTGTGTGTCCACATGAGATCTAAGTCCAACCCACCTTGAATGCCTATCTTCTTTCCTGCATTTCCCATAACAGTCAGTTGTTCAGATTCTTGTGGATAGGTTAAGCTTGCAAGAAATCTTTATACTCATTTGAACTGCCTGAATCTCCTGTTTCCTCCAGCACTTTACAGTTATATAGTTTAGTATGTTCCAATGGTTTGAAACCCTAACTTCCATCAGCAGGACACTGGGAATTATAATTCAAAATATTTGATGACGCATCAATATATTTCTGGACTAGGGTGTTGGGGACAATGGGGGGTGGGCAATGGGGGAGACAACTGGCAGAGAAGAGCAGTTTTTTACCAAATTAAAAACAACAAAAGGAAAAAATGAAAACAAAGAGTCCCTGCGGATTTTACTCTGCTAGTCATTGCTGACTAAAGAGAGTACTGCTCATCTCTGTTTCAAGGCTGTTGACCCAGTGCTGTCTGAAGACATTTCTGTGGTCACAGCATGACATTGCAAATCATTGTTTTCTCCCCACTAAGATGGTACCTATTTATCTACTAGCATTTGCATGTTTTCGAACTATCAGGTGGGCAGGAGCTAGATGAAGGTGGGCAGTTACCCCATTGCACAACGCTCAGTTCTCAAACCTGGGCTGTTGACTTTCCAGCCGAGAAGCCCAATGTCTTAACTACTGAGCCATTACACTACACCCAAGGCCACTATATTAAAAACAACAAGGGGAAATGGAAATATTCTTCCACTGTCATGGGACCATGTGGGATTCCTTATCGAAACAGATCAATTGAAGATTCAGCATAGACAAAGGAAAGCACTATTGGTTTACTTCACAGAAAGTGTACGGTAGTTACCGTACAGTACCTACAGTAGACTACAACCACACAGGATGCAGTGTGGTTGCCAGTTTAGAAAAGGTAGCTTTGGTTATGATGATTTGGGTCATCATAGAAAACTAAGCAAATTTTTAAAAACGTATTAAAGGAGATGGAGAAAGGAAAATAAGTCTACCAAGGAATGTGTTACATAATAATCAAACTTGCTTAAGTCTCAAAATGATACAGATGTTTAGCAGAAGATATGTTATTATCAGTCAACAGAAGCAATTTGAGACAGAAGATGAAGCACCCATGACAGAACGCTAGTCTTTTTCTGCTTTTTGGTTTTGGCAGGGGAAATTCTTCAACTAGATTATTTTTTTCTATTCTCTCCCCAATATGCATGCCAATTATCAAAGTCTTAAACACTAGAATGACACTGTTTTATTTCAACAACATTTATGTATAGAGGAGGCAGTGTTAAGTGAATCAAACTAGGTCTTGGGCAACCTAGTTTCATATACTCAATATGTACTCTATCTCAAATAATTGCTGTATTTTCTTTTAGAGTGGGAAATTACGCATGCTAGCTCAAGGAGAACATGAAAGATAATTGGAGAGTCATCTCTTGATGGCCCATCTGAATACCACATAGCTCACACAACTAAAATCTCACTGTGAATTGCCACCCCCTCCCCCCTTAGTCCTGTTATAGTCAGGAACCCAGAAGCCAACTACTCAGAGGGCTGATTTGCTTGTGACTTTCAGAGATGATCAAGTCACCCTGACTTAAGGATCTGACCATGCCCCTTTGGCATGCAGAGCATGTTTGCCTGCATGACAGATNCATTTTTGTTGCCCATTTCTGGAGTTGCTCAATCTATCTATCTATCATCTATCTATCTATCTATCTATCTATCTATCTATCTATCTATCTATCTATCTATCTATCTATCTATCTATCGTCTGTCTGTCTGTCTATCTATGTCTCTAGAACTACATACATTATTCCAAATGTGATCTGACTAAAGCCCTACATAGTGGGATTAAAACCTATTTTTCCTGCTGGTGATCTGTCAAGAGATGCATCCCACAATTTTGTTTGCCTTCACAGCTGTCTGGCCACACTGTTCATTTTGAAGTCATCTGCTATGATCACACCCAAATAACTCATAACCTGGCTTTCTACTTGATTTCCCTGATTATTTCTAATATTTTTGCTGGTGTTCTCTACATAACTGGAACCACAAGAACTCAAAACCTAACCTAATTTGATAAGTGAAACCTCCAGTCTTCAGAGTGAATATTTTGGAGTCACAAACTTGATAGTGTTTTTAATCTTTTCTTTTCATGTGGAGAAAACAGGTCTATCAGATTTGGATTGCTATCATGGTAACAGCTAGGTGGAAGCACAGAATGCCTTGTGAATATCTTTGCCGCCATTTAGTATTTGTGTGGATTTTTGCATACAAGTTTGGTAGCTCTAGAAAAACATCTTTAGAATCCTAGCGCATATCAAACATGTAATACTGATTTAGCTATTTCAGGATTTTTCAAATTTGGCAACTTTACGATATGATGATTTCAACTCTCATTAGTCAGGACTCTGGTGCTTCTGGGAGTTGAAATTCATACATTGTAGAATTGCCACAGTTTGAAAAACTGTGAACTATTCTCTATTGTTATTAATGATAAAAGTTTACAATTTTTAAAATAATGTTATACGGGATGGCTTTTAAGATCAAAATTAAATATAAATATTTAAGTCATCTGCCGTTTAAGCTTAATAATTAATTCACTGATTTACATTTTGGCATTTCAATACATTGCTCAAATCTCCAGAGCCTAGGTTTTCCAAAGTTCTAAAGAGAGCAGAGACTAAATTTATGATTTAGTCATTAAAAAAACTGCCTGTTAGAATGGCAATTCCTAAACTGAAAATTATGAAGAGGTTCCTGAAACGGACCTGGAAAAGTCAATTAATTAAATAATTATAAAATCTTATAATTATTGAAAAACCCACTCAGGCTCAGCTTCATTTGAANATCTTGTGTTGAAGGGAAGTTCTCATAGCACAGATACAGGTAGTCCTCAACTTACAAAAGTTTATTTAGTGACTGTTCAAAGTTACAATGGCACTGAAAAAAGTGACTTATGACTGTTTTTAACACTTATAACCATTACAGCATCCCCATGGTCACCTGATCAAAATTCACATGCTTGGCAACTGACTCATATTAATGACAATTGCAGTGTCCTGGAGTCATGCGGTTAGCTTTTATGACCTTCTGACACGCAAAGTCAAAGGGGAAATCAGATTTACTTAACAACCATATTGCTAACTTAACAACTGCAATGATTCACTTAATAACTGGGGCAAAGAAGGCTGTAAAATGGGGCAAAACAACTGTCTCACTTAGGAACAGAAATTTTGGGCTCAATTGTAGTTGTAAGTTGAGAACAGTCTGTAAAAGACAGCATTTTTTCCATTCTATGAGCTACATTGTCCTGTTACCTACCAGGCAGCTGAAAAACTGGTATTTTTCTTCCTGCTTCCCTCTCACCATCTATATATCCATTTAAGGGATGGAACCTTGGTTCCAAAAGCCGTTATTTTATTATTGTATCCTCACTGAAAACAACTACATCAATACTGTAGCTGTATATATCTCTATTTCGACATTTAAAAAAAGCAATTCTCAACCTCAACAACTTTAGGATGGAGGGATTTCCACCTTTAGGATATTATTGTTAAAAAATCATACTTGTTATTAAGTTTTATGGTTCCTGATAGTTCGTTTTCTGCTTATTCCTACTTGGAGTTCAGCTCAACATCCTTATGCCAGTTTTCACCCTTCAATATAAATATTAAATTTATAATATATAAATATAATCTGTAACTGTAAAGCCTATCTTGAATACACTCTGCACTGAAGGATTTGGTAGGTTAGAAAGTGTGACTTTCAGAGCAAGCCTTGCTTGGTACTTGTCAACCGTAATGTTAATGTTGTCTCTTCTACCACATTTCAGAACAAGTGCTCAATTCATCTTGGAGAAAAGACTATTTCCACCTTGTAGTTTTCATAATGCCCGGAGAAGGACTTGGGTCAATAATGAAAAACAATCAAGTTCTGTTTTGTTTTGCCTTAACTTCATTGTTTATTCTCCCAGCCCTTCCTGCTAAGATTTTTCTCTGATGGCACACAAGCGAGCTCAATGTGTTCAAAAGCAACTAGAGAAACAGGGAAGGGCTGTGACATTTGGCACCCAGAGACATTTCTTTCCAGAACCAAAATAACACAATGCAAGAAAAGGAGGGAAAGTGGGAAATGAAGAAAGCAGTTCAGAAGACAGGTAGCCAGTTTAGATGTAATCGTGAGGAAGGGGATCAGAAAATGAAAAAAAAAGGAGTGGGAACTCATGGGTTCAGATGAATAACCTTGGAGCAGCTCCCAAATGAAACACAATGTGAACAGGTAGTCCACTATTTACAATAGTTCGTTTAGTTACAAAGACACTGAAAATTGCGACTTATGACTGTTTTTCAGAGTTACTACCTTTGCAGCACCCCCGTGATCAAATTCAGATGCTTTGCAGCCAGTTCATGTTTATGTCCATTGCTGTGACCCAAGGTCATGTGATCACCTTTTGTGACCTTCTGACAAGCAAAGTCAATGGGGAAGCCAGATTCACTTAACAACAGGGCTACTAACTTATCAACTGCAGTGATTCACTTAGCATCTGTGGAAAGAAAGGTCGTAAAATGGGGCAAAATTCACCTAACAAATGTCTCACTTAACAATAGAAATGTTGGGTCCAATTGTGGTCAAAAGTCAAGGACTACCTGTAATGTGTATTGTGGCTGGCTAACTAACTAGCTTTTTCCTTCCTCTATTTTAGTAGGATCTTATGTAGTGGATAAAGTGTTGGATTGACTGAAGAAATATAAATTGAAACTCTCTGTTGACTCAGCTCACTCCAACCTATTCAAAGAAAAGAGATAAATTGGCAGGAGGCATGAATTCCCAGAAAATAATGGTTATTATTATAAGTATTGAATACCTGAGCATAGTTCCATCAAGCCAAACAGATCCCTACTTATGCATTGTGGGTTGTGAGGTTTGTTGTATCTTAATTATTGCATACATAAGCAATCTTTATCCATTTTTTGGATGGATTTGTGTTGGAGGAGAACAACCACATATCTTAATTATAATTATTCCATTATTAATTCCAAATAATTAAATATCCAAGAGAAGAACATTTGTATATTTGGCCCAACCCTGTATATTTGGCCATTTTCTAATAAGATGTATAAGCATGTTCTGAACCTTCTAAAATGGTCTACAGTTCCTACTTGACATAGTAATAAACAGCAATTTTATTTAATTTGGCTACATAGACAACTTTCTCGTGTTGGCACTTAATGGTGCCCTGGAGCACAGTTTGTTCAACATAAGAAAAGATCAAAGTGTGGAGTCTGTATGCTTATATCTATAACACAACCCACACAGGCACATAACAATATTCATTACAGGCAGACTACCCCCACACCATGCTGGGACTTTTAAAAATATGTCAATAGTGTTCCTTTTGATGGGTCAGTTGTTCCTTTAGCTTGAACAAAAATGGTCAAGAGATAAAAGCTGGAATCCACAACGTGTAGCAATGAGAAAAGTTGCAGTTCTAACACTCTGTCTACAAGAGGCCCCTTCCCACTTGATGGCCTGTGAAAACGTGCATCTCTTCAAGCAGTTTTGTCTTAGGGTTAGCAGTCATTTAAGTAACAGGTGAAAACCGCTCCATGTTGACATGAGTAATTACAAAGTTATTTCTTCTGCCTTTCTTTGGATGCCTTACATCAGCTACTGTTAGAGGCCTGAAGTGTAATCTAATCTTGGATTGTTTTATAGCCTCTCCTGCATCCTGCTTTATCGCTTGTAGTTTTTATTACTTTTGTAGCAATTCTAGAGGAGTAGCCTCAGAGCTGATGACAGTTTGGCAGATCCTTTGGCAGCCTTTCTGCCTGGGTTCATCAGGTCCAAAGAAGCCACTTCCCCACAAATAGAAAAGCCAGATAGATAGGCAAAATTAGTGAGGCTAGTAAAGGCCCTATGTCTCCATAGCAGAAGATGGTCTTTTGCAATTCTAACAGTCTCTCCTTCGTTCACCTTCCTTTGCTAAAACAAGCATCAGAAGAGGCAAAAGAATGCATCCAGTTTTGCTAGCAAGCACTGCTGAGGTTGCCTAAATTATTTGATTCTACCCATAGGGATGCCCACAGAGCAAACCAAAAAAGGTCAAGATAGCCACAACTGTGTGGTTCTGACTTTTTTTATAGCCTACCTACCCCTCCCTCCTTCCTCTGAGGATGCCTCTGCCTATCCAAGGGGTAACCGAGTTTCCCAAGAGCTCTTTTCAAATGACAATCTTTGAAACATGGGGGGAGGGGGAGAGAATTAAAAGTGCCACAGCAGTAACCCTGTTTGGCTTGGCTTGTTCCTGTACTTCTCTTCAGAATGGAAGGCTGGTCCTAAGTAAATACCCAAAGCCAACACTGAGCTTTGTTGCCATCTTAGAGGGAGGCCATAACCGACTTCTTGCACAGTATCATCATAGTTAAAACGAAAGGGATGGGAGATAAATTCAAATTTTGTGCTGTATTTTCCCCTCCCCTCCCCATCCAAACAAGTTTTCTCCACCCTCCTTAATTGTTTCCTCAGTTCCCCCCCCCCCCATTCCCCACTAGCTGGTAATATTCTGAAGCTCCCAAATAGGCTTAGTTCTCGGTTCAGCTGTTTTGGATGGTTTGTAATATACATGCTTAGATTTGCTAATTATTTGCTTTGTCTCCAAACCAAAAATGAAATTGCTATCACTCTATTTTTTTTTTGTTAGCTCTCAGCAGCAAAAAATTTATTGTCTGAGGGAATGATAAATAAAACTAAATGTGCAGCTGACTGAACAGGACTTGAACAGCTGGTAAGCTTGGGGGCCAAGTCTCCTGGATTCACCCACAAGTTCAGGGGATGGAATGCAAATGTAAAAGGGCCAAGCAGTTCAAAGCAATAAGCGTTTGCTTGTAAAGCTGCTGCAGCCAAGGGTCTAAAGCTCACTCTTCTGGTTTGGAGCATGGGCTTGGCTCACCTAACAGGAGGTTAGATGATGTAATAAAACTTTTGCAACAAGAAAGAGAAATCAAAAATTGGTATCTAAAGTACTGTGTTTCCCCAAAAATAAGACAGAGTCTTACCATATTTTTTGGAGTATAAGACTCACCAGAGTATAAGATGCACCAAGATTTTGAAGAGGCAAATTAAAAAAAGTTTTTGCACTCTGCAGACCTCCCCAAAATGGCCCATTTTTTATGTAGCCTTTAGGAGGCTTATAGAGTGCTCCTGGGGGCTGGGGGGGGGGGGGAATTGAGCAAAAAACCAGTCTATTTTTCACTCATTTCTGCCCTCCTCGGTCCCCAG